TCAGTGAGGAAAGGGTTCTGAGAGCCTTGGAAGTGATATTCGTGATCACCGCGAAATTCTCTATCGAATGGTGTATGAAGTGTCGAAAAATAAATTTCACTGCAAGGCTGCCCTGGGTGCATCTTACTCTGAAGATAGTCTCGTTGTTCTCGATTGATGGAAAATTTTCATGTAAAAACAGTACCAGAGTGCCTTGAAAATGCTACTAGGTTCCAACTGTACGCGCCCAATGTGCTTTAATAAGACATACCGAATGCCTAGTATATGCGCGTTCGCCCGTGTAAAAATAAAAGCAACTAGCATCGGGCGATGCACCGGATTGCTTTCTATGTTTGCATCGCTCCATGATTCCAGATAAGCCAGTTTTTTCTGGTACTAAATCTAGACCCTTTGGTTGGAGTATGAAATTATGTTGGTATCGGATAATGTATCTAGATGCAAATTCGAAGGATATCTCTAGTAACCGAACGGAACTGGCACTTGCCACTTTTCTCTAATCTTATCCTCTACATATAGGTGCATTGTATGTGAGTAATGCAAGGAGTCCCACAGTTAGATAATTCTACACTTCATCCAAAGCATCTAAATGAAGTACAACAAAAAATCAACTAATATAGCCGCTAAAAAAGCATCTAAATATATTGTTTGACGTCAGAAGAGCTTCTGCATAAAAGAATTTAACTTGTACTTGGAAAAAATGGCAAGAATAGAAAGAAGAGAAAGATTATGGCACACAAATGCTATTTCCTGGCTGCAGCACATGCGGAAGAAAATCAATATAAAACAAGTGCAACAGAACGGGTCTGAAAATGATTCAATTTCAGACAACTGTACTCATAAACAAATTTTGTTTTACCGTTACAGAAAAGCTCAAGTCTTGTAAACTAGTGTGGTGAGGACCAGTTCAAGTCTCCAACGCCGGATCTTTTCTGTAGCGAAAAAGTGGTTGTAAAGTAAAATGTATTTATTGATACTTCAAACAAGTGGAGCTTAGAATGGCAAAATGCACACATGGCCTCCTTTCTCTATTTGTCTCCTGAAAAAAGTATCTTAGTTAGACACCATGATGTCTGAATGTTTATCTATTGTCCCGATGCATTTTTGGTGACACAAATGTGATTCCATGTCTAACCGAAACATTAAAGATGATTATATGTCTTGATAGTAGCTGATATCTGGAGTAGGGATCTACATAGGCACGGGAATTTTCGTAGCCGCGAGCGTGTCTGTACTGTCTGCGGGCCTGGACGAGCAACTGCTTTCTTGGACGGGCAGAGATTTTACAAAAAAAACATCATGCCTGTCGCATATCAAAGAGAAAAAATGTTTCATCTGCACGGGCCAGGACAAGCACGGACAGCGAAAAAACCCACGGACTAGCAGCCTGGACAGGACTATGGATACGGGTAAAAAATCTTGCCCGTACAGATCTTTAATTTGGAGACTAACTAGTGTTTTAATAGTGTCTAATCGAGATATTACAGCGAAAAATGCGGTGACTTAAAATGACTTTTCAGGACACGTAAATGTCTGACTGACGTCTAGTATCAGAAAAAAACAACTTAAAATGCACTTTGGACGACTTTATCATGTATCGCGAATGCATTTTGTAATCACCGCGATGTTTTATTAAGGCACGTTTTATTTACATTGCAAAACTAAAGAATAAAGGCTCATAAACAACCAGTTCGATTTTTTGAAAATCGAAAAATTGAAAGCATTGTAAAATTGCATCGACTGATGCAATCATCATGCTTGAATCTCCATCTCCGTTATGACAGGCATCTTGTGGTGTTATCTCTCACAATACTTTGTGAAACGTCTTGTAGTCGGACATTCTCATATCATGAAATGCATTGTCGATCTGTATAAAAGAGTTTAACACTAGACCCTAGTGTTAAACTCTTTTGAAAAAATATTTATTAGAATATGTAGACAAGTTCTAATAAATATTTTTTCAAAATTCTGATAGATACAATAGAGACAGACGAGAAAAAATTAGGAAATTTCTTTTCCGATATCTATGCGTCATATGCTTATTAAGGAAGTGTCGTAAAAAAGAGACTCAGTGGTTTCTACTTTTTTATACACGCATGTTTGCATAGAACTCTGGTTCCAATCCAGAGTTAATTATTTGTTAGGAGCGTTTCGATTATTTTCTTCGTAGGCACTCGACCGTGAAATTACTGAGACCGCCTCGGCCGTTTTGTGCTTATGCTTCAGCGAGTTTTACCGTTGTCTACAGACCATCCACCCAGTGATTCGATATAAGTTATGACACATATTCTGCAACTCTTTGTGGGTTAGAAAACGTATTATTTCAAATTTAATTCATTGAAGAAGCATTCCTTCTTCCAATATACATGAAGGTATGCAACGTCTCTTTGAAATGATGGTATCAGCCTACAATGTTTTAGTGGTTCTCTAATTGAACTGTAGATAGAATATGGTGTTTCTCCTTAGGAGTCACACGCGAAGTTTTTTGCTCGGATTTTATATGCAGATGTGTTCGCTAACTTTGTATTACAGGTTTATTAATGTCGGTTACTTAGCGATCTAGTCAGTTATACAACCGAAAGATAATACACAATATTCTATGCGAAACTTGATTAAACGACAAGTAAAGTGTCCTCTAAAACTGCCTCGAGACTTCTTAAGATAGGTAGTTCTAAAGTTTAGTACTTATAGAAGTTTAGTTGAGAACAGAAGTGATACGCTTTTGTTAACTGGCGCGATATCCGCGAGGAAATCTTTGCATGTTATCTTAGATTTCGTCTTTACTAGAGGAAGAAAATATTTCAAAAACGTTCTAAAAGCGAAACACTTGTTGTAGTTCTACGATTGGATCCCAATGTATATGAACGTCATATTATTAATATTTATATTTCTGTCTATACTCCCTGCAACAGAAGCACTGAGTAATACAAAGTTAATCAACGGAGTGAAAAATTATCTAAATGGTTATGAGACGATGGTAATAGCGTTACAGAAACAATATTCTACAGATATGCTAACAGATTATTTAGTCAAATGTGTGGATGACTCTAATTATATTGTTGGCTTGAATGCTCATAAATTATCACCACCCGGATTGGTGATTATATTACCCGATCTCACTGTAGCGCTTGATAACGGTAAAGTAACGGAAAAAAACATTGATCCAGTGACATATGCAACCTTTGTACCATTTCGTCAAAGTAACAATATGACAGTTAGTCACTCTGCAGTGATTCCGATAAAGCCCAATCCCGATTACATGGAAATCGCACCATATATAGTTGCTAAATCAATTGAATTTGTCTATGGATTTTATACTTTATTCATACAGCATAAGACAAACCGAATATCGTACCTTGTATACTCAGCTTCGACAAAAACTTATATACATATATTAACAACACTTAAAGATCAAAATGGTCATATTGCATTAGGGACAAGTTTAACCGATCAAAATGTATTAACTTCACTTAATAAAACAAAAACATTTAATGGAAACATGACAGCTTTTGGAACACCTTATCAGGCTCTGTTTAAATTTTTTCGCTTTTATAATCGAACGATTTTAATTGCTGCTTACACTCTTAACTACTAATATCGTATGTAGACATTTTTAGACTGAGTTTTGTATTATTCATGTAAATCAACTTTTTCATGTTCACATTTTGTGTTACGAATCTTGTCTTTCTTATTAAATCAGTATTGGGACTGAATAGCTGATAGTATTGTGAAAACAAAATCTATCTCTGGTCTTTATCTAGCAGACTTATTTTTGTAAATACAAATATCAGTTTGAATTTATGAAGAAAAATACTCGGAAAATGTACTAGACCTGTAGAGTTTTAAATAGCACATTTCGATACATCGATGACCTTATTAGTATCAATTCTGATGATAAATTTAACCATAATAAACAAGTCATTTATCATGTGCAGTTAACTTCAAATCGGGAAAATCTAAATGACAAACAAGCAACTTTGCTCGATTTGGGAATGAATATAATTAACGGAATAATGCCACTCAAACCGTAAGATAAACCTACCAAGTTCGGTTTTAACATTGTCAATGATCTGGATTTGAACGGTAATTTTCCAAAGGTAATGGGTTATGATAACCTCTGCCCCGGAATAGAAGGCCACCGTCTGCATAAGACCATGTCTGGGGAAAAGTTCAGACGCCCTAATAGAAGGCCATGTATTTATTAATTAATATTTTCTAAAAACTCAATATTTTTAATAAATGTTAATTAATAATTATGAAAATACACCTGATTTTTCCGGGTTTTCCTGAAATCTCTCTCTGTTCCCATAAATAGTGTATTCTTCACAAAAGATCTCACTTATTGATTGAACAGTGCGTTTGAAAAACTAATTAATTACTGAAATTTTAAAAAATATTATTATTAATAACATCTGTACAATAAGTCTTGGCACAACATTAAAACGTATACTATTCCATTAGGAAACAGGGTTTTTCAATCGTAACGTGCGTTTTAAAATTGGCATAATGTCATCTTTTCAAATCTGTTTTCAGAAATTGTCTAGGATTTTTTAAAAAAAGTTACAGAAACTAAAAGAACCCCTTATTCCGCAGGGCTGTAGAACATTCAAGAACATTCTAGAAGTAAGGTACAGGTAATGCAAAATTTTAGTGGAATTTGTTTCTGGCATTATTATACATATTCAGATTCAGCTTAACGAGCTGATTACGAATAACACATTTCTTCATGGAGAACAACTCAAATTACTGAGAGGACCTCAAAAATACAAAAAACCGTCCTCTATGGTGGAATTGACTTTTTGAGTTTGTATTGCAAAATGGAAGGTTACCGCAGGACTCTAGTCAACAATCACATCATATTAAACCAAAAACAAAACACAAAAACACAATAAAAAATATACATTGAAGGATAACATCGAGTCATTGCACAACTTCAATCATTGTGCAGAATATAGGAAAGAACATCGAAGTTGATTTTTGCAGTTCGTCTGCAAAGATCAAGTTCGTGTGTTCGATTCTAGCTTCGTGCAAGGATTGATTTTGTGTTTTGATAGTTTAAGTTTCAGAATGATATAATGGGAATTTATATTCTCGATTTCGTTCTGGTTCAAGATTAAAGCTTAAACCAATTGAACTGATGCTCCATTTCCACCGGCAACCACTTGCCTACTCGTCGCACCACATTTCCATTCCACAATACGGTGATTAGACCGATCAGGGATATAAATAGTTTGATCATCATCAACATACAAACATTTTGGGTAATAGAGCTGATTGATTCCACTGCCTTGACCATTTCTTCCAGCCACTGTGAGACCATTCTGTACCCATTTAGCATTCGAATGAATGTCAGTCGAACTTGAACGTAGTGGTGCTGAAATAAAACAAAAATATCGAGTAGAAATAAAGATCGATTACATTGAAATGAGTCTCTCATTTTTGTTTTAAACACTATTTAGCAGAGTGATCGTTCACTTTCTCGACAGTGAACAATCATTTGAAGAACTGTTCTCTCAATTACAAACAAATTCGATTCTTTTTCACATTTCGTATACTTTGACTTTTCACTTGATCAGAATCGGATTTTGAGGTTTAGAAATGTTTATTGCTTTTGGAAAATAAATTTGTTTTTGAAAACAAACGTTTTTTATTTTCAAATATTTTCTTCAATTCAAAGTTATTCATTACAATATTTTGTTTTTGTGATCAACAATCAATCATTTTTAACCTTGACTTTTCTCTTAGAACATTCACGATTTGTTCACAAAAGACTACTGTCTCAACATTGATAGTAGTGTCTCTTGTCGTTTCTTCCAGAAAAAAATGGTTGATGAAAGAAAAATGAGCGAGTTAGAATCGATTTTTACTGTGAATAACAACAATCATCTTGTTCAAATAGATGACTGATGAATATTCAAGGAATGAGAATTTCATTTTTTGTCGAAAACTCATTCATTTAACATTTATTTTGAAAATGGTGAAATGTCGATTATGGTAAAAAGAAATTGTACAAAATTGTCGGACTAGATTTTTACTTAGCAAAATACATGCATCTGGTATAAAGTCGATGCATCTAGATGTAAAGATGGAAGCGGTTCACTCTCATCGTCTCCCCCCTCCACCTCTTGTCTCTTTTTGTCTTCCATTTTCACATCTAGATGCATCGACTTTATGCTAACTGCGTATATTCTGCCACGTATGTGAAAAGTATCTAATGATGACTTTTACTGAAATAACATTGTCATTCGAAAATGATCTGATCGATTTTTGAATTTGAGAATGAAAGAAAGGTACATCTCAAATGGTGACTTAATTCTCTTGTTTTCTTCTATTACAAGATAATGTGCTCGAATCTAGAGATCTGAGCATTTTCTTTTTGTTGTTTGACGAATCGTTTTTCTTTGATACTTCAAATCATTGTTTTGAAAATACGAGGAAGATTTAGTTGGTTAAATTTTCACATATTGAAATTCAAATCTCAAACTTGATTCTTATCAAACTTTGTCAAACACGAGTTTTCATTTTAGCAGGCAAAGAAACTTATTCGAATTATTCTTTATCGAAATTAAGGCCTCTTTCGATGTTGATTGAAGTATTTTCAAATAATATTTTTGTAATAGAATAATTTTTAAAATATAAAAAAATTCAATATCAAAATTCTTATCCTCATCTATTGAAATCATCACATTTTGAAGGAAAACAAGTTTTAATACATGATTCGATTCATAATAAAGTCAACGTTCACCAGTCATATGAACATTCTTTCATTTATTTGACTATGATCATTTTTATTGAAATTTTTATTATCATATTGCAAGTAACTCAACTGTGGCTATGTTGCCATCGCCCATCTTCTTCTTCTTCCTTTTTTTAACTCATCAGTTAAAAGATGATTAGAACAAATCTTCACATCCTTTTCTTTTTCTATGAAATAATCATATAAGAAACTAAATTCTTCGTTTCTCGAAATCATTTTAAAAGCGGGGAATGATCAAACATTCGATTACTTGCTTTAGCTACCTTTTAGAAAATTCTCAAATTGATAGAATATTTTCACAAAACCAACTGCTTTGTATTTGTGTTAGTGTATACTGATGTCTCTTCATTCTTAAAAGTCAAAATTTCTGTTCGAAATGAATCGCCGATTTAAAGAGAGTTTTCGACTTGAAACTGAGAGACTGATCTTTTCAGTCTTATTCGGTGAAACTTCAATTTTTCTCGTCTTTGGGAAATCAAAGTTTATCATTTTCAACGACAAAATGTGATATTCTTTGATGTTTTCAAATATATCAACTTTCTACTGAAATACATTTAATAAACACGTTTCATTTCCATTCATTTCGAAATCTTGCATTAAAGAAGGAAATCCTGAGTAAAATGGTGTGTCACTCCAATTTTTGCGACATCTGTGGACAGAGATCGTAAACTTTCAAAAATGCAGATTTTTGACTGAACTTTTTCTCCCGACATTTCTCAAATACTGCTGTTCTTTGAAAAACGATCACAAAAATTTGAGCGCCAATGCATTTTACTTAGAATTTTATGCTTTATCGACGTGTATATTGTTTCTGTAAGAAATTCAATTTTTGTTTCGGTCAAGCTTCAATTTTTTCCAGTTTCGATCCGGCTGTAGATCGCAAATTTCTGATAAAAATGAGACATCGCCTAGCTCTACACGACCTTTCTCTGCAAAGTTATACAATTTACAAGACAAGCTCTAAATTAATTTTTTCCTTCTTACTTCTGTAGCTCTTGAGCTGACAATGGACATTCAGGGCTTTGCTTGTAAATTCTATAACTTTGAAAAGAAAGCTCATGTAGAGCTCGAAGATGTCTCATTTTAATAAGAAATTTGTGGGCTACAATCATGCCTTATTAAGAAAGCTGTTTTTGAAAAACTGGTTTTTCAGAAGGCCGGACCTTCGAAGGAATTTGGGAAAACCCCATAGTCATATTCGGAATCAGCATGGTCAATAAGTTATAACCCACTAGACGTCGATCAAAAAGCGATTTGTCACCTGGGGAGGTTCCCTCGTAAGCTCCAACGGTTATTTCCGAATAAAAACCCGTTTTCCTGGTACTTAGTGTTAGATAGCTAGTCCCATGTCATACACGATACAAGTCACGTTATCTTTTATTTCTTTTATTTTATCTCGTATTTTCTTGTATGTATAAACGTGACATAGTCTATTATTGGTCTTTCTTAATCGACCACTTATGAGTGTTTTCCTTGGTCGTAGCTCTTTACTCTTTGTACGTGTATTTATATATGTAGTTTTATTGGTTCTTCTTAATCGACCACTCTTATCTCTCTCCTTAGCCTATAAATAGTCGTGTTTCTCTCACTAGGAGTAGTCTTTTGTATGAGAGTTAGCAACTCTGTATCAAATGGTATTATCAAAATAAACATATTATTTAAAAGCATATTGCTGTGCACATACAAGACCACAAGATACTTTAATATAACCCAGCTACCTAACAACTGGTGCCGTAACCCGGGTCAGTTTGGCTCTTACTATCAAGCCAATTGAAGAACAATTAGCGTTTAGAATAATTTAGGTAGTTTATTAGTGTAAGAGTTAGGGAGAAATACAGATTAACAAGTGGTATTTATCCGGCCCAATCTAGCTATTAATCATAGCTGGTGTACGAAACAAAAGAAAAACATCATACAGTTGGTATAGTAAGTAAATTTTGAGCGGTTAACTCTCTACTTCCTCATCGTCTACATTTAATGGCATGTATCGATAATGGTATCGAATCAATTAATTAATTAACTAATTGTCGTCGTCCAGATTTAGTACTACTTAAAAAAATAATTATTTGGAAAAATCCCCTGTGGGTCTATCCGTACGGGAGAGCGGGGTATCGGTTGGCACGGTCGTTCTTGTGAAAAAGGACGTGAGTTTTTTCCTACAGCAGTGGAAATTCTGTTCGTTACCGGTATCTGGGTACAAATCAATATTTGACACTGGTGTATCTGTGTGTGTATGCACTTGAGATCGCACACACAAACAACAGGACAACAACCTGGACAACAACCTTTACCACAACGAAACAGACCAAAAGTTAAAATACCAATACAACAAGATTATACAATAATGGATCGTGCTTTAGCTGAAATTGATGTCAAATTTAAAGGTGGACAAAATGATAATGCTATTAAATGGGTAGAAATGGTTGAATCAAGATTTTCATGTTTTGAGGGTATTAGTGATCCTGATAAACGTAAGAAGATATCATTACGTCTAGAAGATGATGCATTAACATGGTATGAAGAGAATAAGGCTAATATAGCGTCATGGGCTGATTTTAAACAAGCGATGATAGCTAAATATCCATCAGCTCTCACACTAAAATTATCATTTATCAGAATTAATGATTATGAAGCAGGACAACAGCAGGACAATGAATCAGTTACAAGTTATTATATTGAAAAGATAAACTTAGACAATATGGCATCACCCAGTATACCAGGTAATATGTTAGTATCAGCCTTAATTAAAGGACTGTTACCATTATATCATCAACAACGCAGAAAAGAAAAGATTTCGTAGAGAAACACTCCCTCAGAATAAATTATGATGAAAGAAACATTTCCGCAGAACTCTTTCATGGTTGAGAGAAAAATCATGCAGGAAAAGGTTTTCTGCACAAAATATTGCACAGAATGCTAAGAGATTAATGCAGAAAAAAGAAAATTTAATCTAAAACAATTTTCTGCAGATTCCCGAAGGGAAAACTAAGCAAAATAAAGAATATTTCTGCAGAAAAAATATTCCGCAGAACCCTGAAGGAAAATTTCCACAGAATAATAGCAGAAAAAAGAATTCTAAAAGACGCGAACATCCTCAATTTAAAATCTAAGTTAGCCAATCGATAGAGCTGATCGAGCTGATCAATGTTGACCGAACAGACGCCGGACGAGTGACTTTCGGGATGATAAAAAATAGGGGATACATAGACATCTGTTTTCTTTTCTTTTCTATGTTGTGAGACTGATCAGTATTCCGCACGACAAATTTCTCTTCAGAAGACAGTTAGTTAGTAAAAGCATCGGGATATGAAAAAAGAGCTTTTAGAAAAGGTTTTATATTTCGAAAATTATTCGAAAAATATCGAAATGAATCCCGGTATTGGTTTTGGTCATCATCTATTAATTTTGTTTCCATATTTCGTTATTTAGGATACGCCACCATCTGTAAATTAGCAACTGGTAACATTGTACAAAGTCACGATTCTAAAATTTCTTCAAATTTTCGAATCGTTTCTGCGATGTTTTCTCGATCTAGAAGCTTTTCGATAAAACTGAGGCGACAAACGTTTTTTGCTCATGTTTACCCCTGGTTTACGTGGATCATTCCGATATTCTTTTATTTAACCATCACACAACAAGAACGAATTGTTCGTCTTTATTCTTTCTATCTGCAAAAGGTCTATGGCTGTACTTCTTTCGACACCTATTCTTTCTTCTGTCTTTCCGGTGTACTAACATTTCTTGACCGTATTTATAACCGTGTCTAAATACATGGCCGTACTCTCTATTTTACATGACACTCTAGCTCTTTTTCACTCTTGGAATCTTTATTACTCTCTTCTTCCATCGGAAAAAGAACAAACGATACGAAGAGCTGGATTCAGAAAAAATGACCGGCAACTAAGATATTTATCACAAAAATACACACATGTTTTTAGCAGCTGGTTCATCTTCCAAAACCAATACTGAGATTCATTTCGATATTTTTCGAATAATTTTCGAAATATAAAACCTTTTCTAAAAGCTCTTTTTTCATATCCCGATGCTTTTACTAACTAACTGTCTTCTGAAGAGAAATTTGTCGTGCGGAATACTGATCAGTCTCACAACATAGAAAAGAAAAGAAAACAGATGTCTATGTATCCCCTATTTTTTATCATCCCGAAAGTCACTCGTCCGGCGTCTGTTCGGTCAATATTGATACCCAAGTTTTGTTTTTCTGTAAATAAAAAAAGGTACATTTTCTCCTGTTAATAAACAACAACAACAAAAATTCTGTATCTTTTAGGCCTTGAACCACATTTTTGCAAAATAATTAAGGAGAAAAAATTGCATTTCGAGTTTTTTTCTAATTTTGCATTTGAATAGTTGAGATTTTCGTGGTTTCAAGTATTTTTACTGTTGTAAAAGAACGAGACATGCTTATTTTTAAAACAATACATGAATAAAAAACCTAGCTGTAATTCTCTTTCTTTCTTGTTGTTTTTGTTTATCTAAATGGCTGATCAATTTATGTATGGTATTATCAATATCACTTGATGTTGGTGATTGCTGAATTCTGCTATCATTGTGTTAAATATCCAAGCATGAGTGTCGTTTTGATGATGATGATGAAGTTAATGCAAAACATTGCACACTAGATGGAGCATAGGTAATAACACCTAATCTGGTATTCCGTGGAATGTGTCTTGGATGGTCATTTAGATTGATCACCGTTAATTTTGTCGTGTAATTGTAATTTTTAGTAATGCATGTGGCATCAAAATTGCCGGATTATGTTGGAATTGTTGTTCTGGATGAAATATAACTGTGTCAGCTGTTGAAATGGGAACTTGTGCTTCAATCTCACACTCTTGTCATCAAAAGCAACATTTTCTGTATCTTCATCAAATGGTATTGATACTGGACCAGATCTAGTTCTAATTCTAATCTCCTGACTGCTGTCTAATACATCACCTTGGTATTGTCGTACCCAATCTTTACCCAAAATAAAATCGGTACATAGGGAATCCGCCACCAATGCCGTAACTCAGGTGGTTATATATTTAATTCTAACCTTCAGTTGTACTTCGCCAATAAAATGCATATTAGTCTTATTGGCTAATTGATAATAATAACTTTTTCTTGTGATGGTGCATGATGAAGCTTTGAGAAGGTGGATTGATTAATAATTGAATTGGTGGCTCCTGTATCCACCAAGGTTTTGATCATTTTTCCATTCACTGGAACTGTAATAAATGTTAAAGGTGATGGTTTTATATTGTGATTGTTGGAGCCACTACCACCATTACCTGACTCCATCACTGATTTAAATATTGCGAACAATATCTGGCATAATGTCCAGGCTGACCACATGTATAATATACTTGTTGTTGATCATGATATCGACTGATGTTGTATTTGATTGTGGGACACCTTTTCTAGGCGATGTTTCTTGTATTGTCGCTGTTGTTCCTAAGTCATTGAGCTGAACATTTGATAATCTGACTTGAATATGTTCACGTTGTTGCATAATATTAAAAAATTGTTCTGGTTTTGTTATTTGTTGGTTTAATGCATAATGTTGCAATTCCGGTTTTAATCCATCTTGTAAATAGCCAATTCGTGATGAATCTGCCATACTGGAATCGTATTTATCACATAAATTCATTATGTCACGATAAAATCTTGAAATTGGTTCATTTCATGCTTGTTTACGCCCGGCTAACTGGCGTAATATTTCTCGGTCATTGGATGGTGGTATTGCCGGAAATCTGTGTGATAGTAATTGGTTAAACGTTTTCCAATCACATATTTTATCTTGATTCTTTTGATACCAATTTTGAGCATCACCTTCTAGTTTAAATTTTGCCACGACATATAACTCATCATCACTACAATTCACCATCTTACCTATTTGTGTGATGTTATTTAACCACATTTTCATTGTCTTTTCCACTAAATATAGGTAATTGTTTTACCTTATGTTCCGTTCCATCAATGTTTTAAGCAAATTATTTGATAAGTCGATTGTTGAGACAGATTTTGTATTTAACATTGTTGTTGAAGAGGGAATTGTTTGTTCCAGTTTAATTAAATCATTATGATGATTAACACATGTTGGGTATTTCTCGACTATTATTTGTCTAAATGAATCCCAGTCATAAACTTGGTTTTTATTCTTAATATACCAACTTAAGGCTTCACCCTTTAAATACCATACAGCCAATTTACTCCATTTACCTTGTGCATGGTCAGTTAAATCTAGTGCAACTTCCAGTTGGTCGATCCATGCTACCACATCTTCTTGCTTGTACCATGAAAATCCTGAATTCTCTCTAATACATTTGGTATGTGTTGCTTACTTAAAATTGAGCTTAACGTAACTTTATCATCTGATCGTATTTTATCCTCATCTAAGATCGATGTTGTCCGAAATAAAGTGGTTGCGGATTTATCAATATATCCACGTTCATCCTCAATTGCAGCAGTCTTTTGTTTCGACTGTGTATTACAATCATTGTTGCTCATGTTTGGTGTTAATTTGTTTGTTTTTGACCTTGTTCTATCTACAATTACGTTCATAAACTTGAAAGTCAATATAAATCAATAAATTCCAATTATAATACGCTTCCAATAATAAATAGAATAATATACTAAACGAGGAGTCCGCCTATTGTGATGATATAACTTTCACAATAGTTACCGCTGTCACCAGTTGTTAGGTCGGGCGCTGTCACCAGGTGAAAATCTCTTTCACCGATTGAAAAGTCTAAGTTAATCGAGCAAATAAAACTTTATTTGTATTCAAGAAAAACCTATCGAATCTACTAAAATACATCGTTATTTATAGCAAAAAATCAAACATTTAAGATGAACAAAATGATGCAACTCTAAATTACACCATGCTAGGATTATCTGGAAACCTATGACGTAATGAAAAGAGATTGAAATCCTATGAATGATGAAATAGCACCTAGAACAGCGTACAAGACCATTGGTCTGATGAAATAGATAACTACCATATGATATCGCAAAAACCGAACGCGATCATATGTATGACGAAATAGACAAAAAAGAAAGAGAACATATGTATGATGAAATGGACAAAGAGACAGAGATCATATGTATGATGACACATAAAAAGGGAACGAAAAGAGATAAACGAAATACATGATGAAACAGTTAAAACAGAACGACCTTTAACTTAGGGAGTGAACGTATTCACTTCCTAACAGATGAAGCCTTGAATTTTGCCCATAATTCTCAATTTTCTCCACCAGAACTCACTTTTCATGCAATAAAAATATCATATTCAGAGTCAGCGTCGAAAACTGACTCGAATGACATATGGTTTGAAATTTTCCGTCGATTTTCATTTTTTCATGAAAATCTCAGTAATTTTTCGACGGGAAAATGCGAAAAAGACAAAAGTGGTCGCACAGGATGAAACGGTACATCATTCGAGTCAGTTTTGGACGCTGACTCCGAATATGATATTTTTATTGCATAAAAAGTGAGTTCTGGTGGAGAAAATTCAGAATTATGGGCAAAATTTCTAAGTTTTCACTCCTGATTTAGAAAAAGTGGGATTTCTCAACAGGAAAAGAAAAAATCAGAAATCGATGCATTGATCATCGTGGCAATGTTTATTCTTGTCGAATCTTAAATGGAGTCTACAAAGATGATTTTTCTCAAAAGCCAAGTTGTGGCCTCTAAGCGAGCAAACTTCGAATCCCTCTATTGCGCTCATTTTGAGTCAGAAATTCACCGAAATTTCAAAAGGTACTCAAGAAGTGCTCATGAAATAGTGTAAGTGGAGAAAACTCATATTTTAACGCCTTAAAGACCAAAAGTTTTCAGAAACTTGCTATAAAACCTCAACCATAAAAACTCACATTTCGGATTTTTTCTGCTTACGCTTCTTTACAGTCACTTTTTGGGTATCTTTTGAAATTTTGGTCAATTTCTGACTCTGTTTAAAAATGAAATTGTCTTATTCGTTGCAATATTAATTTTAGTATTTTTCCTGCATTTCAATACGTACAGAAAAGAAAAGGGGGTAATTGTTTCTCGTTCTGCATTAAATTAAAAGCAAACGAGCTGAAATTTTTATTTTAGATAGTAGATAACTATGTGTGACTATGCTGAAAATATGAGTACAAACAAAGCGTCCATCATCCGGAGAGGTCCCTTGCACGGGAACGAAATTTGCTCTTTTAACGTGTAGGCTAAATTTCTCCATCAGCTTTGGTCCGTTTGAAGTCAAACTTGGGTCTTTTATAGAAGTTGACTTGTCCTAGCTATACTTAAAAAAATGAGCAAAAACAAACTTCAAACAACGCAGAAAAAAATTTCTTACCTACCGTGAGTCAGTTATGGTAACTTGAAAAATTCGTAGCTAGCCTCCACGGGCGATTGGGCAGCTGCCATGCTGGGGTGTGTTACTACAGACCAGTACCTATCTACTCATGGTACTTTCGAGTCAAAGTCGAAGTATCAGCTGGCGACGTTCCCTCGTAAGACGCAGAAAACGAAAAACGCACATGGATACATTTTGGTCCTGGAACTCGGGACTTACCCCATATGTGTTAGGGTGTAGGCACAAGTTATTAGCGGACAGACAAACACGTCAGGACACAGAATACGAGAGTGATTAGAAATAATAATTCAAGAATTGGGAATGTGCTTCATTTACCTCTTGCCTAGGCAAGACCTATTATTTTTATAAATACTTACTCGACCTTATACGACTCTTATTAAGTTCGTATATAAGTATTCGGCTACGATTGTGGTGATTATTCTGGACCAGACTTATAAGAACTTGATCAGTGATCCATAATTTTTAGCAAAAAAATTCTTGTTAGATTTCTACGACTATTGTATGCGATGTTTATAATTATGTAAGGGATTCTTCAACGGACAGCATACTGAATATTATTTTAGAGGGTAGCATTGAGGTCCGCCCACCATTACATGACATAAGAACCGCAAAACATTCAATACTTTCATTGTGTAGAGCATCGAAACTTGGATCTGCAAAATCACGAAAGTTTTTTTGTCAGAATCAGATAAGAATTTTATAAGACGTTCATACGCAACTGGTAAGAAACTGATAAGATTCTTATAAGATATTCATAAGAAAGTGATAAGACGGCTTGTTACTTTCTTATGAATATCTTATAAGTTTCTTATAAGAATCTTATCAGAACCAGTGAATTTCTTACCACTTCCGTGCCACATCTTATATAAGAATCTTATCAGAAACTTATAAAAATCTGATAAGTATTTTGTATGTTTCTTCTGAGATCCTTATATAAGAATCGATGTCTAGGGTATAAGTCTCATCCAGAATAATTACCGCAATCGTGGCCGAACGCTGTATACGAACTTAATAAGAGTCGTATAAGGGTCGCACTTGACACGAATATAAGTGATATAAGCTTCTTATACATCCATAGTCAGTTAAATGTATAACATTTGATGTCTAGACCTTGCAAGCAACGATTACAATTGCACAATGTAAACTTGAAACACATATTATTCCAGCTATTATTAAAGTTCAACTTTACATGAACAGAATTCTGAAATTCTGCATTCTAGGGGTGAGAGTGAGTGTGCAACTTTACATGTATGTAAGAATTCTCAACATGTAAAGTTCAGAATTCTTAAACTCTAAGAATAGTAGCAGTGTTTGAACTTTACATTTTGCAATCGTAATCGCGCAGCCCTGAATGTAATGTGAACAAGAAAGATAATTATAATAATCCATAGAAATAATTTTCTATTGGTGATTCCTTTCCAGTCAAGGGATAAGTGAATCAGAATGGTGAATGCTACTTGTTTTAAACTAAATGAAGATTGTAACTACAAACTGTTTGCTCCTTCCAGTTTCTTTGGCAATTTGTAGTTTCTGAGATAAATAAATTTTACATAAATGGCAGTGCCACTGTGAAATATAAAATCTGTTTATCTCAAGAACTATAAATTGCTAAAGAAACTGGAAGGAGCAAACAGTTTGTAGTTACAATCGTTATTTAGTGTAAAAGATGTATCTGATAAATTTCAGTCGAGATAACGTATATAAATTTAACTAAATCTCGCTTACATTAAGATTTTTTTCAGCAGTCTACATATCATATACCGCGAGACATAAAATACTAAAGGATATACTATATAAAGATAACTCATGTAGAATGATAATTAACGGAATGGTAAATTTTAGTATAAAATTAATGTAGTCTTACCGCAGATTAACAAAAAAAGCCGCTACAAAATATAAAGACTGGATGAAAATGATCGTAATACTGCAAAAAAAGAGAAATAAAACTGTGATCTACTTGTTGAGATGTTTTTGAAACCTTTGAGATCGAATTTCGATTAGACTATTGGCGAAGACCCAATTTTATTGCTATTTTGTATGATATTTTTTAAAGATACTTTGTATGATTCTTAAGACCATGATGTTCTTATTATCCATTTCTTAAAGCCGTTTCTTCAACAGACTTTTTGTAAGATCATTTTGTTAGCGTGTATGCGCGATCCTGTTGTAAATCGTCTCCTAAATCGTGAAAAGCCGTTGAGCCGTTAAGAAAAGGCTCAATACAGCTCGTTGCAAGTTTGTTGCTAGGCTCAGGGAAAATTGGCCCGTTACCGCTCAACTCAACTGTTCACTTATCTCTGGTAGACAAATAAATAGTATTATTATGTATCCATAAGACGGAAATGATGAAAAATTCAAATGACAGTTTTTCCTGTAAGCAGTTACAGTGATGAAAAACAAAAGCAAGCTTTGCGCGTCCCCAGAGGGATATGAGACCCTCAGTCTTATAAGCAGGAATACTGATGGAAAAGAGTGTTATAACAGCTCTTGTTCGCCCATGAGGAATGAATCTTCGCACAGCAATGAAGAATGTTGCTCCAGAACCGGTATAGAATTCAAAATTAGTTTCTTTGATATGTACATCAATACAAAAGAAACTATTACAAAATATTGTTGAAAAAAGTCCCCGTAGCAGAGAGGTGAATACGACAAGCATGTGGCAAGAAATAGCCTCGATTGGCCGACATATTGGTTCGAAGGATACAGACGGGAACCGTGAACGCAACACGGATTTACCTCGCAGGGTCAATGCGTAGTTTCGATATAAGCGATAAGCGCATAGCAGCCTGTAGTGATAAAGAGGTAATGTACATAATGAGTACTCAATTAAAGTAAATCGCAGTGGTAATTAATTGATAATGAATGAACAACGAACGATTTAGATTCTGTAGTCTAACTACATATCGTCTGCCATTATGAAATCGTTCAGGTTACTGAATGTGTCAACCAACCGCTTGAGACGTGCATGGGGCTGGAGGTGGGATATGAAGTTGTTGACTGCTTCAAGATAGAAAAGTGACATAACGACGAGATAAATTTAGATCGAATAGCGCGCCGCACGTTGGGGTGGACATTAGGTGACAAAATGAAAGTGGCTTTTTAAGATTCAAATAGTCTCAAATACACTTTGAAATACGGGCTATCTAATATCATAAAAATCTTTGTTCTAGGTGCCATAGTTAGCCGGAAAATACATTGTGAAATTTAGCCGAAAAAACTGACCGGTAAGCGATAACAAACATTATGATGATATCTGAAAATCATTTTTGAAAAGTTTCTGCATAATTTTAAACTAGATGTTCTGATCTATTGATTCTTAAGGCCCTCCCACGGCTCAGAAATGCCGATTTTCGTCAAAAATATCGATTTTGAGAAAAGCACATGGTTAGATAGCCCAAAGTGTCTACTTTCTAATGGCATAACTTTTGTGTCGACAGGATGGTTTTTTCCTAGTTTTTGAGCGACCAGAAAACTTAAGAAAGTATAGCCATTTTTTGTGTAACTTTTGAATAGTGCTAACCAGAGAGCTGAAGCTTTTAGACATGGAAAGAGGAACCTATGGAGCATCTTGAATACAAGTAACTTATTATTTCAAGATATATCAAAGATATAGTGTATATATTATTCGATACATCCTTTCTGTTGACGTGGTTGGAACGTCATTATTTTTCCCTTGTGTAGATTATGTCTGTTTTTCTCAAATTTGTAAGACTTCAAAAATAAGACAATTTTCACTTAACAACAATATCCGAAAGAGTAATCATACGAAGAAACAAATTCTTCTTACTTTCGCTTAGTCAAATACTTAGACTATTTTTTATTTTCTTGAGTTGAAAATTTGTGAATGGGATATTTAGAAGTTATGACCAAAATTTCTTAGAACTTCAGGTCAATGATTCATCTTGATTGCATCATGTTCTCGCAGACAGAGCCGGATAAAGCATGATAGAATCAGTGCTATAGCTACCAAAAATAAAACTTTTCAAAAGAGCTGTAACTGCTCTAAAACTTACACTATTCGACGCTCTTCGACCCAGGAAGGTTTTCGAAATTTTTGAGAACTGCTTGATTAAACAGAATGATGTCTCACTATTTCAGAGATGTCGCTTAATTACGGGACAAAGTTCGGAAGCGTTTTTCTCAGTTTCTTGTTGATAACACACAGTTAGTAGATAAATCAGTTTTTCAGCGCTTCCATGAAAACATGCAGAAACCTTCGATGAAAGCGTTAGTGTTATGGATTCTGACAGCAGACATCTTGGGCGATCTAATAACGTGCTTAGCTCGATATTGAGTTTCCAATAAAAATTTCGTATTCCTGACGACAGAGAGCGGCCTGAAAAAATGCAAAAGTATATGGTTTCTTCATGGAACAGAGAACGGTTTTCACTGATGAAAATAAGTAATGGAAAGGAGCAGAAATTTTTAGTGTCCTTCGTACTCAGCTGTATTGTTCGTAACTACAAGATGGAGATCTTTTGTGCGACGCATATCGATATGTATATTTAACACGACTGATGTATATTTGGTTCAAAACTTCGTTAATTCATATCGTTTAACAATAGTTTAACAGGATAGCATTTCTACATTCGGATACTGATTGTTCCCTTTGAAATTTTTGATTCACGCTCCTTATTTGTAGAAAAATGAGCTCTACGTAATGTCAGTTTTAGATGTCTGTGACAAAGACCCGAAAAGTACTATGACAAAGTTTGATATTCTATCTGCAGCGGTGGTGAGTCAAAACCTTCTTTTGTTGCTGTAACAGAAACGTAATCTGACTCAACAATTTCAGTTGATGATATTGCTATAAAGAGTTATAAATAATTAGAACGATTAGACAGAGACAAAGCGGGCGATGGAAGTTTACTCTATTACCAAGAACACTTGATGGTAACGCGTCTCTCGATTATGGAAGATAAAGGTTATGAAATTATGTTTTTTGAGACCATCCTATCAAAAGTAGGAAGAGTCTTACTGTCTCTCAATTATCGCACGCCTAGTATGAATAATGAGCAGATTGACTCGTATATCCACTTTCTAAGTGAAACACTTTATAACATTTGAAATGAATCTTATTCGATACGATTACGCCGGTGTATTTATCGAAGCAAAACAGTAGAAAGCCAATTACTGCTAAAAAATGATCAACCATCAAAAGATTCTGTAGCCAAAAATGTGATTGACTTGCTGTTTATTTTAAACACCGACGTTTTTTTAAAAGCATGATGCTGAACCTAAATGTATTTCAGCTCGAAGATTGAGCAGATTAAGTTATTGTAAAAAATGTTACTTGAACGAAGAAATTAGAGATATGAACCAGTATTTAAACTAAAATTCTGCCTTTCGATAAACGAGTCTTCGCGGTAATGTCGTTCGCGGTAACGTCGTTCGCGGTAATGTCGTTCGCGGTAACGTCGTTCGCGGTAATGTCGTTCGCGGTAATGTCGCTGTATCTGTTCTATCTAATGTAAAACAACTAAATGATTTCAATACTGTTGCATGGAAAAGTTTTGGCGGCTAGACGATCAAAAGTAAGTACTTTCGGAATCCAAACTTCTCTATATAACAGCAGTGAAACCATTTAGTTGTTTTGCATTAGATAGAACATGATCAATCGCAAGTGCTGAAGACAGTCTTTTTTTAATATCTCACCTTTATTGTAAAAAAAGGTCAAAGCTGGACTTTTTCAGCCAAAAATCGGTCTTGAGGAAGTGCCCTAAAAGTGATAATACGAAACGTTAAATAAAATTGGATTAAAATGACTGTTTTGGCATAAACCGAACAATTATCACAGCGATTAAATAAACAATCAAAATTAAACAGTAAGTCAATCACAAGTCAAATCATATTCAACAAGTAACAGAATTAGGTTCAAATTGAAATATAAAGGCAATGGATAACAACAACAGCTACAATACAATACAGTTTATTTTCGTTACAATGGAGGTGTTTGTGTTGATAGTGGAAAAGATGGGACATATTCGGGTCAAATGAAAGCTTTCACCGCCAAACTAAAAAAGAATTCTAAGTAGAATTTCGATCAATATGTGGTAGGTCACACAATTTTGGTGTGATGTGGAAATCTAGTTGAATTCTGACAGAATTCTGTGCTATTTGTACACCATTCTAAATAACATCCGAGATAGAGTCTATGGCAAAATTCTTAAATTCTGCTGGTGATGAATTCTGCCTGCCCTCGATTTGATATATATGTATTTAAAAAAAGGAAATCACACTTCTATAGGATAAGCATGAAGTATAACTACCGAAGATTCATCCCTAGAAAAATTAATTTTTTAATTGCTTTCAATGGCAAAAAAGTATTTAAAAATGGTTTTGTCGAGGTTTTTTGCAAACACCTGTATGAACAAAAGAAAGAGGTCTTATCTTTTTCTTGTTAATCATATGTCTCAGAAGAAAGAAAAAGATAACGCCTCTCATTTTTCTATTTGTTTTTCTTGCATCACTCTTTGCAATATTTAAAAGGAATATATTTAACTGACTTTCTATATCAGTCATCAGTTACTTCTCACACTCTACATTCAAGATTTGTCTTTTAAAATATAAAACGAATCCTGAATGTTGAACAAATATATTCTTTTAATTGTCGGCCTTGTGGCTGCCCTGTATGTATCAACAACAAACGCTAATGGTCTCTGTTCATGTTCCTGTTGTGATGGTGATCAGTGTGATCCAATATACGAAGGCACTGCAATCGCCTCATCATGTGCTCAATCTGACTGTATTACTGCTTGCAAGGCAAAATTTGAAGACGCATGTGGTAGTTTTTATACCACCATCCGGGAGACTTGCCAAGAGGTAAATACAACAACTACATCGACTTCAACAACTAGTACAACAGCTTATGGTCTCTGTTCCTGCTACTGTTGTGACGGTGATCGGTGTGATCCAATATACGAAGGCACTGCAATCGCCTCATCATGTGCTCAATCTGACTGTATTACTGCTTGCAAGGCAAAATTTGAAGACGCATGTGGTAGTTTCTATACCACCATCCGCGAGACTTGCCAAGAGAAAGGTGCATATATAAAATAAATTGTTCTTTATAAATCGTAGAGCTTTTCACGCTGCATCTTGCCATATATTTTGTTTCTTCTAAATAAAATGTATCATATGATGAAAAGATGAAATAAGAAAGAAGGAATTACTTTTGTAGAAAAAGAACTGATCTTTTCGCAACGTCGGAAGTTGGTCGCACAGCATTTTGCTTATTTTAAAAACAAAAGGGACATATATAAAATAAATTGTTCTTTGCACATTGTAGAGCTTTTTTTTATGCTGCATCTTGTGATATAACTTGTTTTTTTTAATAAAACATATTAAGTGATAAAAAGGTGAAATAACAAAAAAAAGTGAATTCTTTGTGTACGAAAAAATTATCTTTTTCACACGGTCGAAATTTGAACGTTCAAAATTTTGTCCATTTTGAAAAATAGAAATGCAACTATAAAACAAGGACCGAATACTGGAATCACCCGATTGGCTAAACTCAAGGGGGTGAAAACTAATTTGTGATTTTGCTAGTTAAAATGAGTTTATGTGATTTTTGTGAGTTTTTTTGATTTAACAATGGAGGTGTTTATGTTGATAGTGAAAAAGATGGGACATATCTGATAAAAGCTCTCATCGCCAAACTAACATGGTTAAAATATTAGCGGCTCTCGGCTTGCCTAGAAGGAGATATTCGATTTTTAAGTTATGCTCAGTTCTATTTCGCTCATGCGCTTCCTCAGAGTCTAATCGCCATTGGCTTTATTTTTTAGGACTCTCTTTCCATTTATTTTTGACTTAATTCAACTTTTTTGGAGACTCTTGGCCACGAGTATCGAGAACATGCAATCTCAGATACCGTGTTTCTCCAGCTCGGGACGAAGACCCGGCCTCCTTTGAGCTGGGTAATTTTTTTATAGTAACATTTAAAAAGGTTCAATGTAAGAATTATCTTTTTTTGCGTTTTTTTTCTTCTTTTTTCCTTTCTGCCTAATCAAAAATTCTGGCAAGAGAACATCTTTAGCTTTTTATCAGCTGCTAACACACTCACATACCTAAAATAAAACAAAGGTAAGAAAACAAGTGAAATATATGTACAAACAAGTGTGATAAAAAAAATTATTCTAGAGCAATTACTACTGCTCCTAAGTATACTGTCAATATTTAATAGTTTTTTTGTGAAACTTAAAGAGTAATAACGTGTTTCAATGGAGTTTCTGTCAATCGCTTTTACTGAATGGAGTTTTGAAAGTTTCAGGAACTTGTTTCGTAGCTTTAAAGATATTTTCAAGTTTGAGTTTTGAGTTATCAATGTGATTTTTTGTGAGAATTATCGAATTACTTTTTTTCTTTGCAATGCGAACGAAATCGGCAGCAGAACGACAAGCTTCACCTCCAAGCACAGCAGACCAAACTACTCGTTTCACAACTCCTCCAATCGCATCAACCGTGCCTTTCCCATGACTAGTGGCAAAAAAACACCAATGCATACTAATTTTATATTCTGAAGCAAGCGAAACTAAATTTCGAAAATGATAACGCTGTTTAAACTGAGACGCTGCTCCATCACTGAAAAAGTTAATTCCTTTCAAATTTCGAAGTAGAGTTTTCAAATGATTTAAAATTAATTCCAGAGCTGAATTCACAACGAATTTATTGTGACTAACATCTAACGAGGGTAGAGCAAAACCAAATCCTCCACTTTTGGACCAAACATAACCTGTCAATATACTCATTGTTTTTGTGTACCAATGTGCGGACTGAACTTCATCTTGCTCCTTCATTCCATAATTTTCGGCGAAATCAACTTGACACACAACTTTTTCATCGGTCACTTCAGCCTTAAGTTTTTCAAAACATTTCGACTGTTCTCTCTTAACAAACACATGAAATTTAAAATGTTCAATTTTACTTCCTAATAGCAGGACTGCCTCATCAACACTACCAGAATACTCTTTTTTTTCTGCCCGTCCATTTTCGTTCGCCCACTGAAGCCATTTAATCTGAACGTTACCGTCAATAACTTTTTGTTCAACCTCATCTCGAAAGAAATTTTCACAAAGTGGACACCGACGGAACATACACTCCTCGTTCTCTGTATTACAAACCAACGACTGAGTGAAAGTTTCTAGAGATGAACAAACTTTTCCAGCAATACACTTATCCAAACTTTTCAAAAGCAAATCAACATTAGCATGATAGACGCAAACACAAACACGATGAGGCAAAGCCGCCTTACAAACAACGAATGGAGGTCTCAAATCAGCAAACGCAGAACGACTCAAATCAACATTCTTATTTTCCTCTCTGAATAACTCGTAATTTTCTCTTAAATTATTAATTAAAATTCTTTTTTGGTACGTCGTTTTCTCTCCATTATCGTCTTTTACTATGATAGTATCACGTTTACCAGGTAGCTAATACGAAACGTCGTCACGAACATAGAAATTATAAATATCTTTTTTCAGTTTTGCAGAAAGTTGAACTGAAGTACAGTGATGAGTTGGTTTAGGAATTAGACCAAATTTCTGAGCTAAATGCTGAACAATTATTTTTTTCTTTTTATCGCATTTCGGCAAAGACGAATTAACCTTTTTCAAAGACTTTCCGAACGACTGACGACTCTTGAATGCACTGGGAACTGTTTTTGTATTTAAACATTTTTTTTTACTATTACGAAACTTAACTTGATTGATTTTATTTTTCAAAGGGAATGCTGCCAGATCTAGACCGATTACCTTTTCTCTCTTCGAATTACCATGAACACGAGCCTTAGCTTTCGCCGCTTCATATTTAACCTTATCTTTTTTTATTTTCTCACGATATTTTTTCGCTCTTTCCGCCTGACTCATGGCCATTCTCTTATCTCACTAGGAAATCTAAACAACACTTACCTTGCAAAAAAATAGAATAGAAAATAGAATATGAGAGATAATAGAAGTAAAAAAATAAACAATATCGTTCTCTTTTTTAAAAAAATCACACTTATATGGATGGAAGCAAACCTTGCTTCTAATGTGTCGTCCTTTTATGCTTAGCTTTCGGCAAAATAAAAGGGATGAGTGTATTGATTACATTTTTCTCTCTCTTTAGTAAATTAGATTTTTCTTTTCTGCTCTCTCAAAGCAACGATCACAATACACGCAGGAGACAGATGGACATAGAGCTGTATCGGAATCGTTAAGTACAGTCTATATATAGAAGGCCAACGAGTTCTATTCAAACCTGACGCTCTACGTGCTCAGTAAATTTAGTGGCAGATCTGAGTAGCACACGTTTAGTTGACCAGTGCTCTTCTATTATTTCGCTTATTCCAGTAAAAATAGCACTCTATAATTTAGCTAAAAAGCGCTACCACTGATTAAGTTTTCATAATTGCGTCACGCTTTTCTACGATTAAATGCGCTTGTTAATGAAAAAAAAGTAGTTCGTTGGATTCGACGTTAAAAACTGGTTATAGTGAACATTTCTTTTGGTCGAAAGTCAATGGTTCGTATAACAAGATTTTTAAAATTAGGTGTTTTCGTGACGCAATTACATTGAGTTTTATTATGTATTTCTTCGGTCACTGTGAGATAACAAAGCAACGGATTCAATTTGTTCTTGTGCCAAAAGAAAGAGCGTGGTCGATTGTCTATGGATCATGTCTGAAAGAATTCCTATCTCGATTTTTTAATGTTGAAAAAGTCTAAGAAAAACAGATTGAAAAAAAAACGTGATCCGCAAACTCGCATTAAACTGATTTTGTGTAACGTTTTTATACTTCCAGATTTAATTTAGGCCAGTAAAAAGCACACTTCATGACACTGTCAGATGCGCTCTACAACGTGACACTAATGGTTTTGTTCAGTTTCGAAAAAAATACTTGATCAGCGAAGTGTCGCGTTACGTGAACAAGCTGTACTAAACAATAAAAGTCTTTTATTATGGCTGAACTTGAAAAATCTTCTTGACATGAGATATTACGATAATCTTATCGCTCAATTGGAATATTTAGATAGATTATCAGTTGTTGTTGCTAAAGGGAAAAAATGACGCTTTTTTTCCTCTTTATGTCTTAACATATACATAATCTTTGTTACAATGTTCAATTCATTTCATACATTCAATAAAGTGTCTAGCCTTCCATCATTTAATCAAATAATGTTCGATCATTTTCCACTTCAATATATTTCTTTCGACATTTTTCCTTTCGACCAAATGATGGCAAACCGATATCATCGTGCCAAAAAGCAGAGACAGTCACTCTCATAATTCGTCACACAGAAAACACTGTAAGCGATCGAATTCCGACAGCTACTGTGTATACGGATTCAATCGCCATATGTAATCTTCTTGAAAACCTTTCCGGCAGAATCCAGTTTAGTAGATCGACTAGGACAATTGCTCGCAATTATACGTTTAATCTAAAAAGGAACAAGAAGTATTTTCTCCCGCGCGTCAATGTCAAGTAATGGACTGCATTAATCAAGGCAACGGGCTTTGTGCCATTCAACTGAGAGAAATTTAACACCCTTGCTACTTGTCAATCCTGTTTAATACCTGCAATTATAATCACAGCCAACTAATCGAACCATACTACCACCAATAGAGCAATCATCGACTGTATCTACATTAACAAAACACACCGAACTAATAACTACATCGAATGATCCCAGGCTTAAAAAATACAGTGATCACTTTTGCTAAAATCCAGTAATGACTTTATTTCACACATGCACTTTAACCGACACAGCAAGGACATGTTAACTGTCGGTCCACCCCTACAAATCATTGTATTTTCTGCCATGCCGTCTTTACACATCCCAATCTACATTCTTTTTCTTTCTACTCTGTCAGTTAATGTTCAATTAGTAGTTTGCTTATCAAATCTCATGATCATGTTTACTTTACCCCTATTTTCCAAAGACATTCACCACACTGAATCTTTGAAACACTAAAATCGGTCCAGGAAGAGCACAATATCTAGCCAGTGCTCTACACCAAAACAAAGTAACTTCAATACAGCCCCTCTTCTTCTGAATCAACCATTCACTCACTATTTTTCACAGACCCTCACTACACTGGACTTCAAAGCAATGAAATCGATGACCAAGGAGCACAACATCTAGCCAATGGTCTGTAACAAAACCAAGTCACGTCTTCAACTTCTCATTCTATCATCCCCCATCTATTGTACACAGACACTCACCACACTGTCCCTCGAGTGGAATCAGATTGGTGACGTAGGAGTACAATATCTAGCCAATGCTCTACTCTCTAAAAAACATGGATTATTACGAAACTTAAAAGGGTATAGAGAATTGCAACCATTTCTATACCCTTTTAAGTTTCGTAAACCCCCCCCCAAAATAGAAGGCCACCCTATATTAGAAGGGCACCCTAAATAGAAGGCCACCTCAGAGGCAATTCTGTAAAATCCATATTAAAAGGCCATGGCCTTTTATTTTGTCTCATGATGT